ATTTGGGAACCATTATTAAAAATTAAATGACATAAATGTAAAATAAACACAAAACAAAGGAGACATATAACTCAAAGCTTAGCATTTCTTGCTTATTTTACCATATTTACCTTGGTTTTTGAGGTTATTCATGACATTTGCATTGGTAGAGAGAAAATGGTATGCCACAGAGCATCTCCAACTCCACAATCAGTGAGACTGTGTTAGTGGCATGAAATCAGGTGGGAGTATTTACACCATGAAAATGGGCAAACACTGAAGTCAGGGCTTGACTTTATGACTTCTGGACCAAAGAGTTTGCAAACTTCTAAGCCATATCCATAACGATGTATTTGTTTACTCTTTAAAAATCTGTATATTGTTTACTGCGGTAATATTCAATTAACTTAATATTAACCACACAAAATTTTATTGGAACAGTCATGTTCATTAGTGTTCATATTGTCCATGGACACTTCTATGCTACAAAAATAGAGATGAGACATAGACACTTTTGCTGTATGGCCTGCAAAGCTGAAAATATTCACTATCTGGCCCTTCACAGAAAAAGTTTGACAATTTCTGGGATTTGGACTTAAAAGTGATAGAGGAAGTGTTGTTAATAATGAAGACTAAACCTAAGTATATCGTGCCTGAGGCTGTTATGCTGAAAATAACACAAATTAAATATCCTTATAGTATATGAAAATTAATATGCAGTTCAGAAAAGCTATCATCTGACTCGTTAATATAAACAAAACATCCATTCACAGTCATTACCTCAGACTACACTCATAAGTTGACAGAAAAAGCTCAGCAAAAACAAAAGCAGTTGGTAAGGAACAGCTGGCTGTGTGGAATTAACAATAAAGGAATGTCATATATCCACTATTATTTGTAGACTATATGTTACCCATCCTCTAACAGTAAAATCTACAAAATGATGTGTACACATTTGATTTCTGTATCTATGAGTACACATTCAAGTAAGTGTGAATTCAACCAATGTCAGATTGAAAATATCTGGAAAATTTTTCCCTCTGTAAATATATGCAAATTTTTTGATTATTTCTTAAACAATATAACACAACCATTTTCGTAGCATTTAAATTATGTTATAAAATCACCTAGAAATGAAGAATAGAATGTGTGTAGGTTATATGTAAATACTATGCCATTTTATAAGACTTTCATATCTGTGGATCTTAGTATACATGGGGAGTCTGGAACCAATCGAAGGGATAACTGCATACATATATTTGTGCATACTTTTTTTCTTTTGAGCTTTTTTTCATAGAGCATAACTTGTCAAGCATGCACCATCACACCACTGCCCACACCAAAGTATATGCATCATATAATTTAAAACTTCATTATTTTGAAGTGCTTGAAATAAAAATTTGAATAAAATTAAAATCATTTGCATTACTGTATTTCAACAATAAACATAAATGAAAAGAGGGAAGAATCTTGATTCTTTACATGTGCCAACTCATAAGTTTTAAAATGTTTACTAAAAAAGGTTGTTTTATTACCTCCTCATGCAAATAAAATTTCTTCACATCAAATCTCAAAATCAAGCAAAACAAAGAAAACAAGTTTTGCATCCTAACATATAATAGTGTTCATGGACATAAAATACTCTTTAAAAAAAAAAATCAATGTTATTTCAATAATGCTATTCAAGTACAAGCCCAGTATTTTATATGTTCTCTAATACTTTGTAATTTATATATATATTTGGAGGAGTGCTGGGGATTGAACTCAGAGACACTCAGTCACTGAGCCACATCCCCAGCCCTATTTTGTATTTTATTTAGAGACAAGAGTTACTTAGGTGCCTTACTTTTGCTGAGGCTGGCTTTGAACACCTGATCCTCCTGCCCCAGCCTCTTGAGCCACTGGGATTATAGGCATGTGCCACGGCACCCTGCTCTTATAATTTATACTGAAGAAATGTTAATGCATGTGTTTTTTCCTATCACTCCCATCTCCACTTGACCCAGTACACTGTGCAGGCACCATCATTTCCTGTGTATGTCATTCCATGAAAGGGGACAGAAGCAGTATGACATTGTGGAGGGCCCAGGGCTTCAAACATGGGTGGCTGGGAGAGGCCTGAAGGAGTTCTGCCATCACAGAGCAGGAGGGGGAGGGATTCAAATTAAGATGAGAAAAGAAGTGTGTGTCCAAATTCTGAAGGATCTGCAGATAACAACAATAAGGAGCAGTGGTGTCTGTTCTAAGGGTATGGAAAACCAAGGAAGTTTGAAAATTGACAGAGTGGTGCCATTTGGTTATTGGTCCCAGCAGGAGATAGCTAAAAGCTTGAGGACAGAGAACACACGCTTTGGTGGCAAGTTGCTGGGACTTCAGGTGGGCTAAATGACCAAGGACTGAGGAAGGCAGGAAGCAGGAATGACCCAGGGTGTGTGGCTCCGCTGCCTAAAATAGAGAGAACCCAAGAATCCAAGTCCATCCTCTGAGAACACAAAGAACCTGTCTGGTAAATTTGACTAGAATCAAGCTTATACACCACTGCTCTGTACCCTCTGAAAATGCACCAGAGAGGAAATAATCCTATCCACAGGCTATGGCACACAGAGATCTGCAATCTGCTCCACGGCAGATTGCTCTCAATAGTTCTCAAGTGCTCTTCAGGTGAACCAGTCTACTTTTATTTTCTTTTTCTTCTGTTTTTTTTTTTTTTTAAAACAGTTCAATCAAAAGGACAATGTACTGGGGGAAGAGGGAACCAAACAACAACCCAGCTGGTCCCTACTGCTTCAACTAACACAAATGCTTTATATTTTACCCCCCTTCTCATTTTTTGCCTATTCAGATACCTATCAAAACTCCCCTTCTCCCCCCCCAAATTCCTTCAGAGATCTAAAGTTACTTCTTCTTCTA